CACGCACGCTGGATCATGTTTACACTGCGCGCGAGCTGAACAGCCCTGCAACGCGGCATGTGACGCAAATACACACATGAATGGACAGCAGCATTTTGCGGTTTTGCACTGCGAAGAGAAGTTTCATCCCAATCCAAGCAAGATTTACGCACTGTCAGTCAACATGACCCATGCGCGCACGCATCAGCATCTGTCTGCGAAGGGCCTCTGCATGCACAAGAGAGGCTGCTACGGCTCTCGTCAAAAAACTGCAGGGCTTTCAAAAGTGCACAACTACATAGTTGACGTTCTGGCTCCTCACTTCTTGGGGCGCTTGGCTGGAGGCTCTTCTGCAGCGATCTGGCTGGCTACATTCTTGACCTTAGAGATTTGAAGGTGATCATCGATAGCAATCTTCTTCGTGTTCCTGTACAAGGGGATCCGCACCTTGGAAGCCTTGTTGCCTGAGAGGAAAACCTCCATGTTCGCGAGATCCTCCTCATCTGTGTTCTGCATGCAGAAGACTGGTGATATGAAGCCGGAATCCTCGCTGGACTCCTTCGGCCACTGATTGGGGTTGGCCAGCCAGAACTCGCGTTCCTTCCATGCCGGGCACACAACCCGCACTGCATTCGGCAAAGGTTCAGCCTTGGTCTTTCTCGTGATCACTTTCATGCTGTACGGCACCAGGACCAGCTTCCCTTTGGGAAAGGCTGCTTTGGCAATAATGCCTTTGGCCGGCTTGATCTGGATTGCCAGCTTGGAGAGCATCTTGTGGGAGTCACAAGACTTCACTAGCCCATGGACCTCTTGATGGATGTCCGCGATCATCAACGCAAGCTTGAATTCCTCGCTGTCATGAGGCCCCATGCCGGTTAGGTCCTCCAAGCACTCCGGTCCGGCCTTGGGCTTGAAAAGGATCCACTGTCCTGCCATGAAATCCTCAGTGCCGATCTTGAGCAGCCCGCCCACCTCCTTGAGCTGCACCGTCTTGCCCTCCACTGACTGCACCTGGCATTCCATGGCAACTTTCTCAGTCTTGCGCTTGCAGTAGGCGCCGGGTGTGAACCCATATCAAGAAGCAGGATCGAGGGATCCTTGAGGCTGCCATCGGGATTCAATTCCCGAAGGCGTTCCCCTATGCCACTGGATGATGCTGCGCTGCCTGCAGGGCCTTCATCTGTCTTTTGTGCGTACGACAGCCATGGGCTGGACATGGTAGAGCCTAGGTTCGCATTCAAAAGGAGAACGCAGTCATGACCAACAGCTTCCACGCTCTCATAGGGCTTCTCCTGGGCAGGTGAGGCCATACCCAAAACCATTCTTGCGATGTTGATTTCTGTCACGCCCATGAGATTCAGCAATCGTGGATCTGCCATGATGTCCAGACCATTCCCACTCAAGACATCTCTAAGCTTCCTGATGACGGCGTCGGCCGACTGTGCCTTGCAAAAGCCGTCCTTGCCAAAAACCTTTTTCAGGTTGGCGGGCGCGATGACTTGGCCTGAGCAAGCCAATTTCAGGATTGCGTGACGAAGGCATGGAACTTGGTC